TTTCTTGAGCTGCTGCTTCCCTTCCTGTTTGTTTTCCAGCAGCCTGTTCCTACATTAAGCAGCACCATATTGGTTTCACCTAATACAGACATAACCAACACCCCAATATTATACACCCCATTATAGCTCAAGAGCAAACATACCAAGAAGGGGATTTAGCATAGACATTGATTGTCAGTCTCTCACAGTGCTGAAGCAATCCAAATGTCAAATCTCTATTTTGAGTCTCACTCTAACCCAAGATGTCGGCTCTGAAACAAGATTCTGGGAGAGGGAATGGGTTGGCATGTGTGTGCTCAATACAGGTGTGCAAATGATAGGCCAGATCTTTTTATTGTAATACAAATATTATGAGGTGAGATTTCCTGACATTCTTGATTGTGAAAAGCCAGCAGCAGCATTGGTGGAAATCTCTACAGTGGTAACTTTAGTGCATAATGGATTTTCCTTTAGAAAGTATTTCAGAAGTACTCCATATACTCTTTGCAACGGGTTTATGCAATTTACCTTTGTTACATGAGTGCTTGTGTGATACTCTCTCCTGATAACTAAACAGACACTGTATCTAACACTATCAGGGTCTGTGAGGGGGTTCACACTCACCACCGTATCCCCCTGCCGTCTGCCCTCAGGAATTGGCTCCCTCGGCAGGTAGGGTGCCTTCTCTGGGGTGGTGTCTCCCCTCTTTACTCCCGGCTGCGGCATCCTCTTCGCCACACTGCCCTCCGGCAGTGCCCAAGTCTGTCTCTGAGCCCCCCTTCCGGGGGTCGATGTTCCTCCAGCGGGCCTTCTTTCAAGCCCTGCAGTCTGAGGATTTGCTGGCCAGAGCTCCCCTAGCCCTGCCTGGCTTCCCCAGCCCTGCCCTAGCTCCAGGGAGCCTCCTCCTCCCTCAGCAGCCAGGTTCTCACTGCTTCCCCCCCGCAGCAGCAGCCCATTCTCTATTATAGCGCCCAGCTGGGCCCTAATGGGCTAGTACAGCCTCAGCTGGGCTAAACTCCCCGGCCCTGATTCAGGCCTGGGTCTGCCCTTAAAGGGCCAGTGCAGGGCGAGCGCCCTGTCACAGGGTCTTTCAGGGTCGCTTCAATACCTGTGCAAGTTTTCCAAAAAGTCTGAGAGAACAGCATCGCGGGTCTGTGTTTCAGCAAAGAAGTGCATGAAATAGGACTGTAATAATGGTTACATGTAATTGACACCATCAGCTGTCACACTAGCATGACTGAGATCACTTCCACACTGACCTGGATGTTAATGCAAACTGAGCTTTTTGCCCCTATTTGGGATGCAGTTCTCACCCCCATTGAGCTGAAGTAACAGTGTTAACTTGTAATTTCACATGTAAGTACGGACCCTTGCATGGGGGGAGGATGTAGGCCCTACGAGGATGAAGAGAAGCCTACAGAATGATCAGCATTTCTGGATTCAGTCAATATAGGCCAGGCAAAGCACTTGAGTTTCTCTTGGAGGGATTCTTGGGTGGTCAAAGTGTATAACCGGGAACATTTCGGGAGGGAAATTTAACAGAGCCCAGGTCTGATCTAATTTACACATGTAAATCTGGAGTGATACTATTGATGACAATGGTATTGAATTCAAAATGTAGTGCTCAGCATTTATCCGATGGGCTGTGAAGAGGCAGCGGCATGATTTGTACTTTTTGTATGTAGAAAATAAATATATAATGAGGCAATGGAACTTATTTATAAATAGCTCCAGCGCAACATGGTTAAATATAATGTCCGTTTTCACAGTGCACTTACCATGTGTTTACACATGTCATGATTCAATGGGTCACATCCAGGGCCAGAGAGGGTGTGTGTGGGAAGATCACACCTGTAAAATCACACTGTGCTCAAGTAGGCTGCAGAACTTCCAGCAACAAGTTGTCCATGAGGCCCAGAGCTTAGCAGGATTCAAAGAGGGACTGGATGCGACAGACCCAGACTGGCTGGCTGCAGTAGTCTGGTCGAGGGTAAGTACGCTGATCGCTGGATAAATAAATTCAGTTCCCTGAATGACCGGGGCAGAGACTGCTCCAGAGCAATCAGAAATGAGCTAGAACCAATGAAGTCAGGCAGACACCACTGGAAACCTGGAGCTAGTTAAGAACCTGCTACAAGCGATTAGGAGAGACCCACTAATCAGAACACCTGCAGCCTATTGAGAACCGACTGGGATTTCAGACAGGGTGACACGCGAAGGGCTGAGAGTAAAGCAGAGCACTATGGAAAAGCTGGGAGTGCGAGTGTGGTCATGTGCCAGGAGCAAGTATGCTGGGAGGGGCCGTTTGGGGAAATGGCCCAGGCCAGGGCTATAGGAAAACTACCTGTTACCGTTGCCATTAAGGTCCCTGGGCTGGAATCCAAAGTAGAGCCTGGGCCCGGGGTTCCCCCCAACCCTCCCCACGCCACAGACACACCCCACACGAGGGGAGACTGAGATTAAGGAGGGATCTCACCCCAAACGCATTGACTGGCCTACAACGAAGGTGGCTCAGGATGCTGTGACCCCTGCCTCCTGAAAGGAAGAGAGGCTACGTCGAGGGTCACAGTGAGCCTCTGAGGCAAGCCCTAGCCACCTAGAAGTGCAGGATACCTGAGACAAAACCGGAACTTTGCCCCAGTGGCTAACCAGAGAGCCCTGTTACTCTAGTGAAGACTGGACTATGCAGCTCTCTAAAGACTAACAAAATGGTTTATTAGATGGTGAGTTTTCGTGGGCCAGACCCACTTCCTCAGATCAATTTGTGGAAGAAAATTGGCATGGCCATATATACCAAAGGGGTACAATAAAAAAAAATGTGAACACATATAAAAGTGACAAATCAGATTTTAGAACAAAGGGGAGGTGAGGGGGGTAGGTTAATGTCTGTGAGGTAATGATATTACGGGTGATAATTGGGGAAGCTATCTTTGTAATGGGTGAGATAATTAGCATCTTTGTTAAGGCCCATACATAAAGTGTCAAATTTAAGCATGAATGACAGTTCTGAGGCTTTTCTTTGAAGTCTGGAGTTAAAATATTTTTGAAGCAATATGCATGTTTTAAGGTCATCGAGAGAATGACGAGTCTGGTTAAAATGGCAAGCAACAGTTTTCTCTTTGTGAAAGACTCTGATGTCTGTTTTATGTGCATTGATTCTTTGGCAAAATGTCTGAGAAGTTTGTCCAATATACATAGCAGACGGACACGTTAGGTACATGATGGCATAAATTATATTTCTGGATGAACAGGAATGTGTTCTTGATCTTGTAACTGGAATGGTTAGGTCCAATAATGGTGTCAGCCGAGTAAATATGTGGACAAAGCTGGCACCGGGGTTTGTTGCAAGGGAAATTTCCAGGGTTGGTATTAGTGTGGTATGTCCTGTGGTTGTTGATGAGAATCATCCTGAGGTTAGTGGTTGTCTATAGGAGACTATGGGTCTGTCTCCCAGAGCCTCTCAGAGTGTAATATCCTGTTCCAGTATAGGCTGTAGTTTATTCATAATGTGTTGGACGGGTTTAAGGTGGGGGCTATAGGTGATGACAAGTGGTGTTCTATTGTTGGTTTTCCTGGGTCTGTCTTGAAGTAGATGGTTTCTGGGTATTCGTCTGGCTCTTTCAATTTGTTTTTTTATTTCTCCCGTGGGTAATTGAGGCTTATAAATGCTTAGTAGAGATCCTGAAGTTTCTGGTCTCTGTCAGCGGGATTAGAGCAGATGCGATTGTATCTAAGGGTTTGGCTACAGACGATGGATCAGAAGGTGTGTCCTGGATGGGAGCTGGAGGCATATAGGTAACTGTAGGAGTCAGTGGGTTTTCTGTAGAGAGTGGTGTCTAATCTACCACTGGTGATTTGTACTGTGGTGTCCAGGAAATGGATCTCTCGTGTAGAATGGTCCAGACTGAGATTGATGGTGGGGTGTAGGTTGTTAAAGTCTCTGTGGAATGCATCCAGTGTTTCTTGGCCATGGGTCCAGATCATAAAGATGTCATCCATGTAGCATAAGTAGAGAAGGGCTAAAAGGGGATGAGATCTGAGGAAACGTTGTTCTAAGTCAGCCATAAAAATGTGAGCGTACTGTGGGGCCATGCGGATACCCATGGCTGTGCCAATGATCTGGAGGTATAAGTTGTCCCCAAATTGGAAATAATTGTGGGTGAGAACAAAGTTACATAGGTCTGCTACCAGATTGGCAGTAGTATCCTCTGGGATAGTGTTTCTAATTGCTTGTAATCCGTCTTCATGTGGGATGTTGGTGTAGAGAGCTTCTACATCCATGGTAGCAAGGATGGTGTTATCAGGGAGGTTATCGATGTTTTGTAGTTTTCTCAGGAAGTCAGTAGTATATCGGCTATAGCTGGGAGTGTTGGTTGCGTAGGGTTTGAGAAGAGAGTCTACATAGCTGGATAATCCAGTAGTGAGCACCTTCCCTCTGTTCTAAAATCTGATTTGTCAATTTCATATGTATTCACTTTTTTTTGATTGTATCACTTTGGTATATATGGTCGTGCCAATTTTCTTCCAAAAATTGATCTGAGGAAGTGGGTCTGGCCCACGAAAGCTCATCATCTAATAAACCATCTTGTTAGTCTTTAAAGTGCTACATAGTCCTGTCTTTTGTTTCAGCTAGACCAGACTAACACGGCTGCCTCTCTATCACTATTCTAGTGAAGTCTGTTTTAAAAAACTTGTAGAAGATGTCTAATTAGTTGGCTTCGAGGGAGACATTGTGAGCAAGCCATCTCATAGGTACCTAGGGTAGGTCCTCTTCTCCTGTCCTCTGCAGCATCTGGAAGTGCCCACTCGATAATGGACTAAGACTACAGGTCTGATTCAGTATGGCAGGGCCTCTCTTTCTCTTGGTGGTGTAAACAGAAGTCATTTTGTCTCATCTTCCTTAAGCTTCTCTAGATTTGCGCTGAGAACAGAAAGAGGTCTTGCTAAATATCATTGAGTCGCTTGTTCATTTTTCTTTCAGGGAGGAAAGTTCACAACTAATCAGACCTCCCCGGTGCACGATGTCAGATGTCAATGACACCACCTTCACACATGCCGTGTTCCTGCTCACCGGGATACCCGGGCAGGAAGCCATGTATCTCTGGATTGCTGTCCTCTTCTGCACATTGTATGTTATTTCAATAGTAGGAAATTCAGTCATTCTGTTCATTATAAAAACAGATTCAGTCCTCCACGAGCCCATGTACATTTTCCTCTCCATGCTGGCTGTCATAGATCTTTGTTTGTCTATAGCCACCGGACCAACAATACTGGGCATGTTTATCTTTAACTCTAGGGAGATCAGCCTTGATACCTGTTTTGCCCAGCAGTTCTTCATCCACTTCCTTCATAATGTTGAATCCTCTGTGTTCCTCTTGATGGCCTTTGACCGCTTTGTTGCCATCAGTAACCCGCTCAGATACACATCCATCTTATCACCATCTAAAATAAGCAAGATGGGGCTGGTGTGTGTGCTAAGAGGATTGATTGTAATGCTGCCACTCACCATTCTCCTGAAACGGTACCGATACTGTCGAGCCAATGTCCTCTCCCACTCCTACTGCCTGCACCAGGAAGTCATGAAGATGGCTTGTTCAGACATCAGTGTCAACGTTATCTATGGCCTGTTTACTAAAATCTTCACAATGGGGTTGGACTCACTGCTCATCTTCATGTCCTATGTGATGATCCTCAAAACAGTCCTGAGCATCGCGTCCCGCACGGAGACCCTCAGGGCCCTGAATACCTGCGTCTCCCACCTCTGTGCCGTCCTGCTCTTCTACATACCAGATTTTAGTTTGAGTGTGATATACAGATTTGGGAAGAGCTCTTCTCTGTTGCTTCCACTGGTCTTGGGTTTCATCTCCCTACTGGTCCCACCCCTGATGAACCCAATCGTGTACAGCGTGAAGTGCAAACAGCTTCGTGCGCGGATCATCAGGGTGTTCATCAAGTGAAAGGTCAGTTCCTCACAAGGCTCCAGTGCTGGTGACATGGGAGACAAAGAACTTCAGCCATGGACAAGGTCACTGCTTCCATCCTGGACCCTTACATTGGAGATGGGATAAGCTACTGATCTCCACTCTGCAGAGAGAGGTTCACTGGGGCTATGTCTAGACTGGCCAGTTTTTCCGGAAAATCAGCCGCTTTTCTGGAAAAACTTGCCAACTGTCTACACTGGCTACTTGAATTTCCGCAAAAGCACTCACTTCCTACTGTAAGAAATCAGTGCTTTTTGCGGACATACTATGCTGCTCCCATTCGGGCAAAAGTCCCTTTTGTGCAAAAGTTTTGCGCAAAAGGGCCAGTGTAGACAGCTGAGATTTGTTTTCCGCAAAAAAGCCCCGATCGCGAAAATGGCGATTGGGGCTTTTTTGCGGAAAAGCGCATCTAGATTGGCACGGACACCTTTCTGCAAAAAGTGGTTTTGCGGAAAAGTGTCCGTGCCAATCTAGACGCTCTCTTCCAAAAATGCTTTTAACAAAACTTTTCCGTTAAATGTATTTCCAGAAAATCATGCCAGTCTAGACGTAGCCACAGTGTGTAAGGTCTGAAGCAATGGTAGAAGGGCTGTCCTCACACACTGGTGAGGGAGGATAGAGCATTGTTGGAAGGAGACCAACGCTGGCAGCAGCATTTACATAGTGACTGTGCTCATGGACAGCCAGGGGACCGGAGGGACATTGCCCCATAAATAGCTATTTATGTGGCTGACCTCACAATTGCTGTCAGTACAGTCAATAAAGAGAAGGGAAGTGGCTTTTGTTTCCCATGGGACTTGGTCTGTCACTGTCCTGAGCTCTCTGGGTGCTGCCTGACCCCTGAGCTGTGCACAGGAACTACTCAAGGGGCACAGAGCACCATCCTCCCCCTCCTCCCTCAGCCAGAAGTTTGGGACTGAGTCATGTCAGAGACAGGATTATATCATGATCCCAAGGAGAAGCCAGTCAGGCAGCCCCTGTTGATTGCTCTGCACATCACACACCTGCTGGGCCCACTCCCAGCTGAGGCGGGGCAGAGCTGTGGGTGTGAGGGAGGGTCTGGCACACAAAAGTCCTGGCAAGAGACTCGGGCCCAGGTTCCTTCCCACTCCTTTGCTGCTCCTGCTTCCTGGAAAGCTCTGGAAACAGTCCTTAGCTCCCAAGCTGGTTCCTATCCTAGCCGGGCCCATTCGGTGTGTGGTGACCACTTTCTGCAAAAGGCAATACTGGGAGAAATGCAGGTTCCACGTCCTCCCTGGGACTCCACCCCTGAGCCGCAGCTTTCCCATTCAGGTCCCACCCTCACCCCCCACCACTTTCCCCCAAACACCACCCCCTGCTCCTCCTCATTCCCCAAAGCCTCTCGCCCCCATTAGAAGCTAGAGCCAGGCCTTGGTAAGAGCTGCCCAGGGAGACAAAGCCACTGTGAAGCATCCTTTATGCCCTGGTTATATGGCTGGAGGGGCCTGAGAGCAGCCCCTAGCCTGTTTCCCTGCGCCCTAGGACTCCATCCAAGGGGAGATTGAGAGTCTAGGGAACCCAACAGCAGAGTGGTGGCCCAGGGCAGCTTTTGCCACGACCTGCCTCTGGCCGGGCTAAAGGGTGGAGCCTTGGGAGCAATGGAGAAGCAGGGGGCAGGGTCTAGTGGGAAAAATGTGGGGAGTCAGCAGAAAAGGAGGAGCAGGGAGTCCAGCAAATCTGCACCAACACTGGCCCTAGAATGCAGGGTAGTGCGGGGCTTCTGTATGAAGGAGGAGGATGGGGCTGGGGGGCAGGAGAGCCCATGTTTTGGAGCCTCACAAAGGGGACTCTTGTTTGCAGTATTCCAGGCTGACAGTTAGCCACTACAAGGGTGCCTGCAGGGCTCACCTCGGCCCCAAGGTGAAAGGGCCCAGGCTCGCAGAGGTTTCAGCAAAGGCTGCTGCCACGAGAGAGGGACAAACAGATGGGAAGAGGCTCTCAGAGGGCACATCTACATGGCAGGACTAAAATCAATTTAAGCGACACAAAACCTAATTGCAGGAAGAATAACAGGTATTTCGGAATAGGGCTTTATTTCGGAATACCATTTCACTGCCGTGTGTAGACACCGGCAGTTACTTCAGGCTTGTAAATTTCAAAAATGGCGCCCGGCCTGGAATATGCAAATTAAGCACGGGATAGTTAAATCTCCGGCTTGATTTGCAATTCCGAATGCCTACATTTGCAGCCCTATTTCGAAATAGGCTGCAAGTATACACATACTCTGAGAGTATGTCTACACTACCCCGCTAGTTCGAACTAGCGGGGTAATGTATGCATACCGCACTTGCAAATGAAGCCTGGGATTTGAATTTCCCGGGCTTCATTTGCATAAGTGGGGAGCCGCCATTTTTAAAACCCCGCTGGTTTGAACCCCGTGCAGCGCGGCTACACGGGGCACGAACTAGGTAGTTCGAACTAGGCTTCCTAGTTCAAACTACCGTTACTCCTAGTTCGAACTAGGAGGGTAGTGTAGACATACCCTTAGAGATTAACGAAAATACATGCGAGCTGTGTCTACATTGGGCCACTTATTCCAGAAAATCAGCTGCTTTTCCGGAATAAACTGCGAACTATCTACACTGGCCCCTTGAATTTCCAGAAAAGCACTGATGATCTACTGTAAGAAATCAGCTGCTTTTCCGGAAAAACTATGCTGCTCCCGCTTGGGCAAAAGTCCTTTTTCCAGAAAACTGTTCCGGAAAAGGGCCAGTGTAGACAGCACAGTAGTATTTTCCGCAAAAAATCCCTGATCGCGAAAATGGCGATCGGGGCTTTTTTCCCCTCAGACTAGGTGATCATAGCGGCCCCTGCTGGCCTTTGGATCTGCTAGGGGTGTTAATGGCCCTGCCCTACCACAGGGGGTGTTGGGTTGGTAAACATGTCTCAGATTGTGAGGCACCCAGATGTTACAGTAGGCGCAAAGCTAAGAGCGCCTGAGTGAGATTCCAGCTCTGTGCACCTCATAAAACCAATATGGGGCACCGGGCAAAGAGCCTGTGCTTTTCCCAATGCCCCTTGCTGATGAGGCCCGCCACGAGCTTTGACAAGGCAACCCTGGGCTCCTCTGGCAGCTGTGCAGTAAGACAGGGAATCAGGAGGCAATTTCAGAGAGTGAAGGATCTGGAGAGCATTGCCTGGCCAAGCAGAGCCCAGATGGGCTGCCCCTCCCTCTGACCCTGCCCTCCTACCCCCTCCATGAGTAGCGAGAGCCATTCTAGCACCAGCCATAGACCTCACATCGAAATGTCCAACATCACCAAGTTTGAGGGTACCTTGATCGGGAGGAAGGGGTCCCTTGTGTGCAACAGTGAGCTAGAAGCAGGCATGTGGAGCTGGTCTTAGTCCACATCCTTTTCTATTAAGAAGGTGCATGGCCTTGCTTATCTGACAAACTCATGTCTCATGCTGGAACAAGAGAAGGAAACCCTCCAAGCTGTGCCTCAAGTATCCAATGACTCTGGAAGCCCATCTAGCGGTCTGTAACATAACCCTGTTCCTTACGACCAGGGACTGCATAGCCCAGAGCAGAGGCAAACAGCATCTCTGCCACGGCTGAACTGCGTGACCAGAAATGCCCACAAATTAGCCCTCAGGTCTTCCCTTTGTGATTGCTCCCCTTGGCTACATCTACATTGGCAAGATTTTGCGCAAATACTTTTAACGCAAGATTTTTTGCATTAAAGTATTTGCCCAAGAGAGCGTCTACACTGGCATGTGTTTTGCGTAAAAGCATCCATGCCAGTGTAGACGCTCTCTTGCGCAAGAAAGCTCTGATGGTCATTTTAGCCATCAGGCTTTCTTGTGCAAGAAATTCATGTTGCCTTTCTACACTGGCCTATTGCACAAGAAGAGTTGCGCAAGAGGGCTTATTGCTGAGTGGTAGCATCACAGTTCTTGCAGAAGAACCCCTGATTTCACACATTAGAACATCAGTGATCTTGCGCAAGAACTCCCTGCTAGTGTAGACAGGCAGCAAGTTTTTGCGCAAAAAATACCATGCCAGTGTAGACACAGCCCTTGAGAGAAAGCCAGCAGCACCACCTCTTGGATTTCATTGTGAGTCTCACACTATTGCCTGTCTTTCTTGAAGCCCCAACTTCTGGAATCCACTCCCTGTTCAGGGATCTCAGTTTTCCTAAGCAAATGTTTGTAAGTTAATGAATTGCAGGAAAGCTAGAAAATATGATGTAAGGAACCTCCCCAAAAAGCTGAGACACTGAAGACTCTCCAAAAGAACCTCACATGAATATACTTTTGCATCTCATTATTTCTACCCTACTCTCAATATTTGACTCATTTCAAGTGAGGCCTGGCGACACTCCACCCCCAGCTTGAAACATCTGCAGAGCAGGTAGTAAAAGATAAAAATAGCAGCAGAATTTTGAAAAGCACATCAGAAGCTTGCCAGCCTCTGCACTTCTCCCCTTGGTGGGAAGGGCCCGAGGAAAAACACCTCCCTATCTGGACAGGCAGCCTTCCCCTTAGCTGGGCTTGTAGTTTTTCCCTGGAATAGGGAGCCCAACCTCTCCTTCTGCAATCCCTCACCCTCCTGCTGACTCTCAACTGAGTAGCTGTTGGTGTTTCTATCTACCTGTCTCTCTTCCCTCCTCCACCCACCAGGCAGGGCTTCTAAAAGGTCTCAGGCAGAAGTGAAATCAGCTGACCCTAATTGGTCCAAGACGGCCCTGTCCCAGCTGCTCCTAATCCGCGTGAGACAACCCCTTGTCAGTTGCTCCTGCCTGACCTGAAGTGACTCAGTTCTAATTAACAGGAAGGGAGTTGGCTTTTTACCCTTCTCCAGCTGCCTTTTCTCACTTTCCTGCAGCCCTCTTGTATGTCAGGGCACTAAACCATGATCAAGCTGTGGCTGAGAGGTAAATGAGTTCTTTGCCTTGGTCTTCCCTGCAGAGCATGTGAGGTGAAAAAAAGAAAGAAAAAAAAAAGAGGCGGCA